CTATCTCATATCCTCACGTTCCTTCTTAGCCACCTGAGTCCATGGTCAGTCATTACAATCACTCCCTTGCCTGTTTTTCCTTCATTATACTGCCTAGCAAAACTTCAATCTTGCTTAAATTCAATCATCTACCTACTCCATACTTGTATGTGTGCGGTTGAGGAAGGAAAAACCCACAATGCCAATATGATTACTAACTTCAAGGAGGCTGTCAGTGCTGCTACTATATCATACAAGTCTATTCACTCTTATAGAGGACTATTTTATACCTCATTCTTCTTCCTCAAATCATCATCCTTCTCTCCATTTTCTAACTCTGTTCACAGAGAATATAAAAACAATCAGGAGAGCATTTCCTCATGCTCCACCACCACCATCCTAGCAAACTTTTACTTCCGCTTCTATATTTTCTATCTTTCTCCTTGCCATGGATAAACGGTCATGAACAGCCCATTGCCTAAAATCAGCCTCTCCCACCCACTAGATCCCATCTCTTTTCACTTATTCAAGGACATGAAAACCATATCCTCTCTTTCCTCTAGTACTATTTCCCTCCCCCTCAAATTGGGTTCATTCTTATCATCAATAGAACATACTATATAACATAGCCCATCCAAAACTAAAACCCTGGTGACTCTACATCCTTTCCCTCCTCTTCCCAAGCTACAGCTCCATTTCTCTGCTACCTTTACAGAAAAACTTGTAAGACTTGATTATTTCCAACTTCTCTTTTCCCACTCTTGTTCTCTCTCATCAGTTCTTTGCCCACTTTTTAAAACTTTTCTGGGGGTATGAAAAGTTGAAAGAATACTTTATGCCCTTCATCTAAATGCATCAACTATTTAGAGACTCCTCAGCAAGCAGGGAGTCCGACATGGGGCTTGATCCCAGGACCTCAAGATCATGACCTGAGCTGAAGGCCGACGCTCAACCAATTGAGCCACCCAGGTGCCCCTACGTTAATTTTTTAAGGTTAAAATTATTTATTTGAGAGAGAGAAAGAAAGTGAGCATGAACAGGGGGAGGGAGAAGGAGAAGTAGACTCCCCCAATGAGTAGAGAGCCTGATGTGGGGCTTTATCCCAGGATCCTGAGGCCATAACTTGAGCTGAAGGCAGATGCTTAACCAACTCAACTCAGCCACTCAGGTACCTTTCCATATTTGTTTATTTCACTCTTTATATACATACTTACACACACAATTTTAGAAGAGACAGGCCCCACCCCCTGCAAAAAAGGTAGAGAAATTATGACACTTCTCTCCTAAATACTCCAACGTGTATCTCCTAAGAACAAGGATATCCTGAAGCACCTAGGTGGCTCAGTGGTTGGGTGTCCGCCTTTGCCTCAGGTCATGATCCCAGGGTACTGGGGTCAAGTCCTGCATCAGGGTCCCTACAGGGAGCCTGCTTCTCCCTCTGCCTATGTCTCTGTCTCTCTCATAAATAAATAAATAAATAAACAAACTTGAATAATAAAAAAAAGAACAAGGATATCCTCTTCATAACCCAATACACTATTACACCTAGGATACTATAACACTGATTAAGTGTTACATATCATTTAAGACGCAGTCCATATTCAAATTTTCCTAACTATATCCAAAATGGCTTTCATTTTTTCTTGATATAGAATCCAATGCTCTTGGTTACAGTTCTTCAATATCCCTCTGTCTGGCTTTTGTTTGCTATTACATCGACATTTTTGGAAAGTCCAAAGATTTGTCTGATAATTTCCTCATGATTAGATTTAGGTTATATTTTTGGGGAGCAAGATTATTAGGTAATGTGAACATCACATCCAATGCACATGTCAGTTTGTCACACTGTAATGCTAACATTTGATCATTTGGCTAAAATGATGCATGCCAGATCATCAATTAAGAATACTTAATTATTCTCCCTGTAATTAATTAATATGTGAGATATTTTCAGATTATGTGAATATCCTTGACCTTTTACCTAAAGCTTTTATTTTTTTTTTTTTTAAGATTTTTATTTATTTATGCATGAGAGACATAGAGAGAGAGAGGGGCAGAGACGCAGGCAGAGGGAGAAGCAGGCTCCATGCAGGGAGCCCGACGCGGGACTCGATCCTGGGTCTCCAGGATCACGCCCTGGGCTGAAGGCGGCGCTAAACCGCTGAGCCACAGGGGCTGCCCTTACCTAAAGCTTTTAGCATCCACTGATAACTTGCCTGAATCAATTACTATGTTGTATGTTCCAAATTAGGCCAGCTATGTTTATTCGTATTATTATTGAGGAATTTCCCCTCTTACCCCACCATTTTTTATCACTATGTATTCACAGATTCTTATTCAATATATTAGAATCCATTACCATCATTATGTTTTTTGATGTTCTAATTGTCCCAGTTTGGCTCTTTTGACATGCTTTCATTGGTTTTGTGCACTCCCCTGCTTTATGAAATAAGAGTTGTTTCACTCATTTTATACTTTCCTTGCCCCACACTTAAAACCAGTTCATATCAGTTCTGAGAAATCTTCCTTACTCTTCTTTATGATTAAATAGTACTCTGCTATATAGATGTACTATATTCAACCAGTTTTCCATGGATAAGCATTTAGATTATTTCCAATATTTATAGTTACTACAAATAATGTCACAATGAATAATTTTATACATAAGTTATTTCATATTTGTGGATATATATCTAGGTAAATTCCACTAAGTCTCATATTCTCTTTTGAACATATTACAATTAGCTTTTCTCTTATTAACTCTTGTGAAGGTCACATGTTGCTAAATCCAGTGGTCAATTATTTGCATTTTACTTGATCCCTCAGCAGCACTTGACACAGCTAATTATTAATTATTTCTACCCTCTTATAATACTTTTTTTTTTGGCTTGCAGGATACTACCTTCTTTCTCCTTACTTCTGGACTTACACGATCATGTTCTTGGGCTCCACCTTCAATCTTTTTCCCTTTCAAAACTCATTCTCTAGAAGACCTTATTTCACATCATGGCTTTACCTATTCTGGCAACTTCCAAATTTCAGCTTACATCTTTCTAAACTCCAACTTATCTTTCCATTTCTTTTGTGACATTTGATTTAGTTAAAAGGTATCTCAAATTTGACATGTCCAAAACCAAACCCTTATTTTCCTCTCCAAGTCAGCTCCTTCCACAGTCTTCCCATCTCTATAAAGGGCAACTCCATCTTTCCAGGTGCTCAGGTAAAAAACCTTAGACTAATCCTTGACTTTTCTTTTTCTTACACCTTATATGCAAATCTATCAGCAAGTCTTGTTGTCTGTGCTTTCTGAATATATGCAGAGAACTTGACTCTTTCACATCATCTCTCCCACTACTCTTCATATAATTCACCTTATTTCTGTCTAGATGACTTCAATAATTCAATCCCTTCTTTCCCCACACCACATCCACACCCAGGCTATTCTCAACACAACTAGAGTTACCTTTTAAAATGAAGTTAGATCACTTTACCCTTCTCCTAAATACTTTGCAAAGGCTTCCCTTTTCGTTCAGAATGAAAGCTAAAGTCCATACAATGGTCTACAAGTCACTATACTATCTGAATTCCTGTCTCCTCTCAGACTTCATCTCCAACTGATCTCCCTATCTCTCACTTGCTGTTTCTTGAACATGGTAAGTATACTACCAATTCAGGATTTTTTCCACCTTACTGTTTCCTCTGCCTAGAATATTTTTTTCCTCAGATATCCACATGCTTTCTTCCTTACTTCCTTAAGTTCTTCTGTTTATAGTTGGGGAGGAGATAAAGGGATCTAATAGTTTCTTAAACATTAGTTTTCACTTGATTCTTCTTATTTTAGCACCATCCTTTCACCTGCAGTATCCAGAGCTTTGAGAAATCTGCAACATAGACTGGGCTCAGTTTTCCTAACTGCTGTTTTAGAATTAAGTTATTTTAGGTCTGTTAGTTGTCACTCATTCATCTACTTTTAAACTTCCAGAAATGAAAAAAATAAAAATAAAAAAATAAACTTCCAGAAATGTAGGTTTGAGGAACAAAATGTTATATATATATATATATATATATATATATATATATATATATATATGTCATTCTGCCATCTTAACACACATACTTTAATTCATTTCATTTTAAAAAACATATACAAAAAATAAAAAACATATACAATAGGACACTTTCAGAAGCATAAAATATTTTATAAAAACAAATCTCTACAAACTTTAAAAGCTTTAAAAATTACCAAAATAAAAACTAAGAGTTTTGAATTTCATTCTATTCTTATTTTTCATATGCATATACTATATTCTTTTTAATGTATTCTGCATTTCATAACAAGAAGATACTATCAATAATTCAGTGTATATTATTTTTGATAATTCCAATTGATTTGGTGATATAGGAGCCCTCCCCACATTTTTGGAAAAGCTGAAACCCGTTCATCATTAAAAAAGGTAACCAAAGGGATCCCTGGGTGGCGCAGCAGTTTAGCGCCTGCCTTTGGCCCAGGGCGCGATCCTGGAGACCCGGGATCGAATCCCACGTCGGGCTCCCGGTGCATGGAGTCTGCTTCTCCCTCTGCCTGTGTCTCTGCCTCTCTCTCTCTCTCTCTCCCTCTCTCTCTCTCTCTCTCTCTGTGACTATCATAAATAAATAAAAAAAATTAAAAGAAAAAACTAAAAAAAAAAAAGGTAACCAAATTCCATTTATTATAGACAACATTCCAGGAAAACCTTTTATAACCTGAAATGATCAAGGAGCTATAATACAGCTATAAAAAAATAAATTAAGCAGTAGCCTTTCCCACTCATCTAGGCTTAAGGTTTAAATTACAAATTTTAAATTTGTTAAATTACAAAAAGGCAACTTCAAAGCATACCTTCATATATTACCAGATAAAGTAAATGGAAAGTATGTGTAAACCAAAATAATAAACAATATAATTGTCATAAATACATTACCATTGTTGCTGTTACAGCAAGTTTCTACAAACTTGGCAGGCAACTAGAAACAAAACTTACCTGTCTAAGAAGATATCTGGGAGTGGTGGGTAGGTCTGCATATCAGGCACTCTCTCATGGACTATTACCATAATGAAAGATGTAAACCCAAATACTATAAAAACATATATACAACTCAATATGGTCTTCCAGTACTCTGGGTCCAATCTTCGAATAGAATGTTTGTTTTTACCATTCATGTACTGGTATTGATCAGAATTCAAATCAGTGATGGGTCCATCACAGTCATGTGAAGGCTCCCCATTACAGAGCCACTCTGTGCTCTGAAGAGCACTGATGAAAGGTGCCATGGAACCCATGGGACTGTCACTGTTGTATCCCATCTCTTCTAAAACATCAATATGTATTTTCTGCAATTTTCGGACTGAGAGCATTAACCTTTTAATGTCCCCTAAGATTTTGATTTCCAGAGGAGGAGACCGGAGATCATATTCAGTCAAAGTTAGTAATGTGATTCCATCAAGTCGGTGCTTATTACATAAAACGTCCACATATTCAAAAAAGCCTTCATCCTTCAGCCAAACAGCTACATGCTTGGTAGTCCAGCGACGAATGCAGAGGTGATTAGGAACAGCCATTTCCTCCTCCACTGCCTGTCCAGGGAAAACAAAACAAAAACTTCAGTGTGTTGGGATCCCTGGGTGGCACAGCAGTTTAGTGGCTGCCTTTGGCCCAGGGCGCGATCCTGGAGAACCGGGATCGAGTCCCACTTCGGGCTCCCGGTGTATGGAGCCTGCTTCTCCCTCTGCCTGTGTCTCTGCCTCTCTCTCTCTCACTGTGTGCCTATCATAAATAAAAAAAAAAAAAAAAAAAAAAACTTCAGTGTGTCTTAAGAACTCCTTAAGACCAAATATATGTAAACATATCAGAAAAAATAATTTATCTACATTGATCTATTGGCTTCTAGAAGAAAGTAAAAAGAACAAAAATTACTCAATGATGATTGTTTTTCAGTAATTAATATTCTAATAATTTTATGCATATAACCCCAACAGCAGAAGGAAGGCTAATGACTAAACATTTTTATAAAAAATTACTCTGTAAATGGCTTTTCCATACCACAGCAATCACAAATTAGAAAAGCCTAGTGTTGAGGGGATCCCTGGGTGGCTCAGTGGTTTAGCGCCTGCCTTCAGCCCAAGGCGTGATCCTGGAGTCTCAGGATCGAGTCCCACGTCGGGCTCCCTGTATGGAGCCTGCTTCTCCCTCTGCCTGTGTCTCTGCCTCTCTCTCTCTCTCTCTGCGACTATCATAAATAAATAAATAAATAAATAAACAAACAAACAAACAAATTTCAGAAATCTTCATGTTTGATGGAAAAATTATCTCCCACTCCTCCAAAATGAGAAAACAAAAACAAAAACAAAAAATGTCACAAAAGCAGATAGATAACTAGTTTTAGGAAACCCCTTAAATATATTTCTATCCACTAAACAAATGATTTCTACAACACAAAGCCTGTAAACTAGATATACATATCTATAAATATCTTAATAGCTCAGTTCTTTCTATACTTTGAATATACCATTATAGAACTGAATAATCAATTTCTTCTTAAACTACCACTGAGAATTCAGTGGTAAAATTTTCAAAAGAAAACTGTCATTTCGATATACTCATATATTTGAGGACCCAAACTTTGTATTGTGATTATAAAAGGTCAATAATGTACTGTTTCAAAAAAGTACTAATAATTTTTACTACTTTGATCCACATAGTTCTGTTTATGTTTCTTTTTCCATTTTAAAAGTTTTAGCAACTTGGGCCTCTATCAAGTTTATGAGATACACAGGAGACAAAGGCCTACATTAAAAAAAAAACAAAAACAACAACAACAAAAAAACCTATTTCCCTAAAGTACTTTTCTCAATTACTAAAGCATGTGGGTTTTCTGACATTTTCCAGATTTCTAAAGATCATATTTCCTTCTGAGATGATTTTTTAAATACACAGTAGGCAAACTTTAAAGCATAAAAACAACAACAATAAAGAATGATACAAGAAATACCTATGTGCTCACTACCCAGCTTGAAAAAATAGAAAATAATTCCAATACAGATGTACTATTTCCTAATCTGGTTATTAGTCATACAGGTATGTTCACTTTGTAAAAATTAAAGAAACTATATACTTACAATCTACACTTTTCTCTAAATAAGTTAAACTATATTTTAAAAGTTTGCTTTAAAAAGCCAAAAACAAAACATCAATACAAGTGAATACGACTCTGATATCATCCCCACCTCCTCTTCCCAGATGAAATAATTCTTGATTTTTAGTGTTTATCATTTCCTTTAACATGCATATTTGGCTATGAAAAATCTTCTATGCTTACTTATGCTGAGAAAAGTAAAAAAAAAACAAAAAACAAAACAAAACAAAAAAAAAAACAGCTACTCTTCTACATTCTTCCCATATCCACACAAACTCTTTCCATGAAGATTCATAATCACTTGAAAAACGCAGATACTTAACTACAGGAGTACCACTTACACCATCAGAAATATTCAGCCAGCAAGAAACACTGACTAAATATTTCTTAATTACTAAAGAGCAATCCTAGTTCTTGGAAGCCTTAAATCATATTTTGTTTCCAAACAGAGTTTTCATATTATCAATCCACAACAGCTTTTCAGTCTTAGGAAATTAATTAACACATCCGACTATAAGGATCTGTATGTTTTAAAAGGCTAATTCTTATATGCTGTAGAACTACAAAAAGCTTTTATCCAGCTCTTTTTAGCTACATTGCCATCCCCAAGGCCATGGAATTACACATTTTATGCAGTTTAACATTGAATTTTATACACACTAATGCATATCATTTTACATATATACTAAATTCCATTAAAATATGATTTTGCTATGTTTTAGTTCATACATATATACTCAGATGTTTCATCCCACTTACTACATACATGTGTTTTCCCCAAGATATGCTCTGAATACATTACTTTATCTTTGAATATCCAATAAGCACATGCTACAAACTCTGCAGCAGTTACAATGTGTAAATTTGGGAAGCTCATCTCACACAAAAAGGCCCGATTTCTTCTGCTGCCTTTCTCTGTTCTCGAATAGCTTACCACCAACGGATTCCAAGTCACTCCCATCCTTGTAGCATTATCCTTCAGTATGTCTCATACACTGCTGAAAATGATCTTCTCTTTCATGCCTCGCTGCCACTGCTGTCTTATATCACCAGTTCTCTATATCCTCAATCAGGCTAACAAATAGGCTTTGAAGCTGGTGTTTTAGCTGCTAGAAAATATGAGTTACACAAGGAAGCCTTCTGGAAGTCTTTAAGGCTGCTGTGGCAATGGCCTAAGAACATGACACACTCAACTGATGTGCTTCATCAGGTCAGGACATGTCCTTTAATTGTATGCTACTGCATATAGTTAGAGACTATATTTAGCTAACCCTGTGAAAACCTGCACTAAAGAGGTATATTAAAAAGATGATAAAAGGCTTTAGGGTCAATTTAATATTTATGTTGTGCCATAGAAACTACATCAAACAGGAGACTTTGAACAAACCTATGACAGCTGTAAGTTTCACACAAATCCAAAAAATTAAGAAATAGGTTAGTAGTTAAATTTTTAAGAATACTTTCAGCTTTCAGTTGTTGTTGTTGTTATTGTTTTTTGATGAGGGGACGGGCAGAAGGAGAGCAAAGAGAATTTCAAGCTAGCTCCACATCCTGTGTAGAGCCCAATGAAGGACCCTATCTCATGACCCAAGCCAAAAATGAAGAGCCAGAGCTTAATGGACTGAGCCACCCAGGTGCCCCAGAACATTTTCAGCTTTAATCAATAATTATTATGAATCAATTATCAGTTAAAGGGACTCTTTCTGTTCAAGATATAAGAGGGACATAATTACCCTTCAACCTCAAATAACTAAATAATAAACAAAATATATGGTGGGAGAAACACCAGCTTCAAGACATTTGGCACTGGGGGGATCCCTGGGTGGCTCAGCAGTTTAGCACCTGCCTTTGGCCCAGGGCGCGATCCTGGAGTCCCAGGATCAAGTCCCATGTCAGGCTCCTGGCATGGAGCCTGCTTCTCCCTCCTCCTGTGTCTCTGCCTCTCTCTCTCTCAATCTCTCTCTATCATAAATAAATCTTAAAAAAAAAAAAAAAAGACATTCGGCACTGGACAAAAAAGATTGCTGAGAGATGGGAAACAAAGTGAACTCTATTGCTCCAGCTTACTGCCTTCAGAGTTTCCAAGTCATGCGTGGCACAAGACACAAAATGGGTGAGGCCTGGCAGACGTGCTGAGTTGAGAAGATGGAGCTGAGAGTCTGGGGAGATCCAGGTGGCTAGTGTTCATGAAATAGAATACCGGAGAGGAGAAAGATGCACAGAACTAGTTACGGACTGAATGTTTGTGTCTCCTTAAAATTCGAATGTTGAAATCCTAGGCTACAAATTAGGAGATGATCAAGTCATGAGGGCAGAACCCCCATAAATGGGGGTTTAGTTCCCTATTATAAGAGATATCCTAGGGAGTTTTATCACCCTTCCACCATCTAAAGACATAGCTAGGATATGACTACGAAGAAGGAAGCAGGTCCTCACCAGACACCAAATCTACTGGGCTTTAATCTTGGACACTACAGCCTCCAGAACTGTGAGAAATAAGCGTATTTTGTTTAAGCCACTCAGTCTACAGTATTTTTGTTATAATAAGCCAAAAAGACTAAGACAGAACCCAAGAGATCTGCAGAGACTCTCCCTTGAATATGCAGCTGAATACTGATCACATATACATGAGGAAACAAAACAGGACAGAAAAAAAGAACCACCCAGTATATATACAAGACCAATAAAAGTGTCCACCCCAAAGACTGGAAAAAAAAAAAAAAACCTCACAATTCATGGGGCATTGGGGTAAAGTGCACAGGAAAATCTTGCTACAGCAGTGGGGCAAAATTAATCCTAAAGCAGCAGTTCATTCAACTTGGGGTAATTTGCTAAGGGAAGGGACCTGTAAATAGGAATTACCATACAATAAATAAGGGAACTGTAAATAGGAATTACCATACATTATTTTCTACTGCTATGTAGCAAATTACCTTAAACTTAGTGGCCATCCACATTTCTTGTACGTGGCCTCTTCTTATTCTGATAACCAGCAGCTTCTCCTATGTTGAATTCCCCTTGTGCCCGGAATCTCTCCAGGAAAAACATATTCCTTCTTAAGGGCTGGCCTGATTAAGTCAGGTCCACCAAGAATAATCTCTGTTTCTTAGTCAACTGTGTTATATAACATAATCTAATTACAGCACTGATAGCCCATCAGTTTACAGGTCCCGTTCATTATTATACAACAGTCATTGGAGGTCATTTTAAAATTCTGTCTATCATACTACCCTAAATCAAGACAAAGTGGTAGTGGCATAAAGATAAACAAATGGAAGAGAATGGGGAATTTGGAAACAGACTTACATAAAAAAATAACTAATTTCCTACAAATGTACAAAGACAATTTAATGAAGGGTAGTCTTCATCAAATAGTATTGGAAAAAATGGATATCCATATGCAAGAAAAATCAATCCATATCTCTCACCACATATAAAAAGTAACCCTAAATGGATCTATAAACCAAATCTAAAAATCTAACATTAGAAAACATCTAGAAGAAAACATAAGAGAAAATCTTTCTGATCTTAGGTTAGGTCAAGATTTCTTAGCTATGATACTATAAAAGAATAAGTTGATAAATTGTACTTCATTTGTCTAGGCAGGAGACTGAAGGTCTTTTATGGTTTTTAGTCTGCAAATTTCTGCACTGTTTGAATCTTTTATAGCAATGTACTTCTATAATACAAAAAGAAAATACATAAAAGCAATATATATTCATTGAAGAACTTTTTTTTTTAATTTCTTTAACATTTTATTTATTTTTTCATGAGAGACACAAAGAGAGGCAATGACATAGGCAGAGGGAGAACCAGGCTCCCCACAGGGAGCCCAATGTGGGACTCGATCCCCGAACTGGGATTACGCTCTGAGCTAAAGGCAGACACTCAACCGCTGAGCCACCCAGGCATCCCCATTGAAGAACATTTAAAATGTAACTTTAGGGCAGCCCCAGTGGCTTAGTGGTTTAGCGCCACCTTTAGCCCAGGGCATGATCCTGGAGACGCCAGATCGAGTCCCACGTCAGGCTCCCTGCATGGAGCCTGCTTCTTCCTCTGCCTGTTTCTCTCTCTCTCCGTCTCAAATAAATAAATTAATTAATCAAATAAAATAAATAAATAAATAAATAAATAAATAAATAAATAAATAATAAAATGTAACTTTAAAATTACCTTTGAGAAGTATTATGATTTGTTATAGATCTCTTTCACACAGAATTTCCTATAAAGAGAAATCATACCACAAATAATTCTGCTTCATTTTACTTAGCATTATTATAAGAATTCTATCTAATGTTATTAAATTATCTTTTGAGGGATCCCTGGGTGGCGCAGCGGTTTGGTGCCTGCCTTTGGCCCAGGGCACGATCCTGGAGACCCGGGATCGAATCCCACGTCGGGCTCCCAGTGCATGAAGCCTGCTTCTCCCTCTGCCTGTGTCTCTGCCTCCCTCTCTCATTCTGTGTGACTATCATAAATAAATAAAAATTTAAAAAAAAAAAAATTATCTTTTGAAAAGGACATTTCATTCTATGGCTATACAATAGTTTGTCCATCTCTCCATTGTTGGCAATTGTTCACAATTTTATTACTACTACAAACAGGACTGCTGAGTCTTACATTAAATTTCTAGGAGTGGAATAACTGTTATCAAAAAATCTGAAGTGTTAAAAAAAATCTAAGCGCTCACATACTAATGTCATTAAAGCTTGATTCACATTAAAAAGCATTGTGTGCGAAGCTTGTACTTATCTAAAATGTAATTAGTATGTATAAAGGAAACATTTCAATTTGAGATAAAACTTTAAAGTTTATTCTGAAATCATGAGCTATTAAGAAATTAATTATCAAAGTGTTTTGTCATCAAGGCACGGAGAGAATAAATAGTCCACTCCTGCAGAATCTCACTATCAATAAGCATTAGTCAAACAGTTCCAAGTCCTAGATGACAGATAAACAAAAGGAGCTGACTGTTCTGTACCGAGTGGAACAAAAGCTATCTTATGGGTGGACTCTGGTTAGAAATTTTTGAAACCTATAAAAAAAAATGTAATTTTCAGCCCAACTCTTTTATTTACTAGCATGTTTATTTCTTTTCTCTCTGAATTTAGTTCATACTAATTAGAAATTTCACCAGCCTGGGAGCAAAAGAGCTTAGTGCATTTCCTATAATGACCTTATCGCCATACTTAATAAAATGAGGGACGCCTGGATAGCTCAGTGGTTGGGTGCTTGCCTTTGGCTTAGGTTGTGATCCTGGGATCCAGGATTGAGTCTCGTATCGGGCTCCCGGCATGGAGCCTGCTCCACTCTCTGTCTGTGTCTCTGCCTCTCTCTCTGTGTCTCTCATGAATGAATAAATAAATCTTTAAAAAAAAAATGAAAAAAGCTCATCATAAGAACTTTAAATCTGGTATTTCTTAACAGTAGTGTAGCTATTCTTTAATTAATATGCCTTTAATGCATTCCATTAGAGTGACCCAAGTCTCTGCAAAAATATAAATAAACCAGGTATGTTCTACTATATTAAAATTGCAAATATGTATGTTAGTTCTGACAAACTGAGTATAACCAGTCCAAAATAGCAAAAGGAGATAATGAATATCAATAAACTTCTTCCCCCGCTCCTCCTTGTTGAAGCTATTTGTTGTGCTCCACCCTACCTCTGTATCACCAGCTGCAGGACAATCTGGCCACCACTGAGAACAACTTAACTAAAAGGAACATTACCTTCTGTGAATCACCAGTGACTCAATATCCGTGACAAATATGATGAATTTGGCGCTCAGTATCTTTTCCAATTTCCTTCTCATTTTCTGCTACTACAGAGGTTGAAAAGCTAAAAATTATTCCCCAGGATCCCTTGCAACTAGTGTTCTAAATGTGAGTAGAAGCTCTGACATTAGATATAGAAGGCAGAAAGTAGGAGCCATTTTCCTTAAAGTTTTGGCTATTTACAAGACAGACCATGTAAATATTGGTTTTGTGTGTGTGTGCACATAATTCTCCGGTTTTCATTAACCATTGGGTGTAAGGAAGCAGCTTTAGTTGTGGAGCAGCAATACTGGCTTTCCAACACCTGCATCAGATATGATGCTATGTTCTTTGTTTTGTGTGTGTTTGCTACGTACATTCACATGGATGTGCAACCATCACCACCATCTGCTTCCA